CACTGGAGTCTTTTTTTTTTACTCCATGATTTTCATATTTGTAAAAACAAAGTTAACTGTAAATGAAGCCTTTTCTAAAGATATATATTTTTACAATTTGCTTAGGGAGCAAAACTGAAAACAAAACAGTTTTATATAAGCTATTTTAGTTTCAGAAGAGGTTCATTGAGAATTAATTAAAGAATGGCAGCTTTCAGTGTATTTACTTTTTAAAAAACATCATGTGAACCCAAACAAAAACTTAAAATAAATGGACCACTAATCTGCCAAAGACCTCTTTTGTAGTTTGCAGAAACTCCTAAAAACTCCTAAAAAAGTCTACATTGTTGTACTGGGTAAACTGTTCGATAACTATAAACATTTGCATATTGTGAGAAACCTTCATACGCTTACCTCAGCGGTAAATACAGATGTTCCTAGAAATTTTAATTGGCTTCGACTAACTAGTCTAAAGGTAAGAAAACACTCAGAACTGAGCTGAATTCATCAAAAATTGTCTGCAGGTAAAAAGAATGTGTGTGACGTTAGCAGTGCTAGTGCCACCAGACCTCGGCCCTCTCTTTTACCGTCCACATTCCTGTGGTTACACATTGATTTGCCAGTTTAACCTGACAAAGTGTACATACATTTTTATCTCAATTTTTTTCTAGACCAAAATACCACAAGCGCCCTACAAGATGCTATTCATTCAATGTGCTTGTTTACATCATGGCGGCAGAGCGGGGAGAGCAGGCCCATTAACCCTAACTTCAGCTAGTTTGCGGCTACAGGTTAACGGCGAGCCGCTGCGTTGCAGTTTGGGTGTAACATTTTGCAAACTAATAAACATATTGATTTGTAAAACATACTTTTAATTCTGCTGATGCTGTTTAACCGTTTAGTCGACCTAACCCGCACATCCCTTTTGAATACTTCAATCAAACTTGTAGCCGTAAAATCGCCTGAAATAACGCCCAAAAAATCCATCCAAATGTTTTCTTAAAACTCCAGTATCTCTCTGTAAAGACTACACAAGAACCTTTTAGAGAAAGACGAGAAGAGAGAGAGAGAGGGGAAAGTTTTCAAAGTTGGGACGTGAACATAGTTGATCAGGTTTTGTCTTGTCCCTGCAGTGAGAAAGGACAGAGCCACCTCTGCTGATGTTTACCTCAAGCAAAGTAACAGTGTTTGTGATAAGCTGGAGGGCAGCTGCTCTGTAAACCAAATCTAGGTTACATTCCTGAGTGAACAACACGTCGATATCGGCTGCTCTCGTGTGTGACAGAAGTGGTCGATATGTCAATACAGTTTCTGGACGAGATCTCTATGATGTTGCGGAGGCAGGGAGGGTCATTATGTCAGTGACTGCCTGCTTTGTGTGCAGACACACACACACACACACACAGCCAAATGTCGATGGACTGCAAGTGGTGATAGATTAATGTAAATGCACTCAATCTGTTTTCCACGCTTTGACTCAGATAAACAACATGGATGGATCTGATTTTTTAGGGGTCAAAATGTCGTTTTGGATTCGCAGTGGGGACACTTTCTCGATGTGTGTTGTCTGAGGTGTATTCAGTTTAAGAGAGCGACACCGTGGGCATCGACTGCAGCTGGAGATTATTGACAAAACATCAACAAAACAGTGTTTAGACTCTGGAAAGAATTCAGCCTGGCAACCCACGTCGTCTCTCGTCAACTGCTGTCATATCAACTTATCAGCAGAGACGCTCACAGACACTGCATGTGAGTGTGAACACACAGTCTGAACTGTACTTTGAAAAGGAGCTAAGATAAAACACTTTGGAGAGATATAAATACGCTCACATTCACAAACGTTCTCAGATTAACCTAATCAAGCTAATCTGTCAGATTAACACACATTATAAAACTGCCGCTAATCCCTGCCCGTCCTTTCTAGAGATCAAACTGAGCGGTCATTGAGATAAACAGAACCCAGGCGTCCTCACTGTCATTAGATATATTTCCTGCTTTAGCTTTACTGTTCCATCGCGTTCTCAGAAGTCGGCCTATCTGTCTCTGCTGAAACCATTTAATACAGTTTCCTGCTTTATGGTATAGCATGCCACATGTTAATGCTGATAGTGCTATACACAGGACGGCGGCTTAAATTCTCATTTCAACCCACAGAAAAAGACCCGCTTAAATACATTTCAGTTTCAGTTGATGAAAGATGAAACATAGTCCGGTTATTATAAGGCGCTTCAGGATAAAATCTGTTTATGAGGTAAAACAAAATCAACATGAGAGCCTCAGGTGAAGACACATTCAATGTTTCAGTCTTCATTTTTGTGCTTTATGTTGCCTCAGTGTTCAGTAAAATGAGCTAATTGTGTGTATGCTCTGGCACTGCTTTCCAGGAGTTACTTAATAAAATAATTTGTCAGTCTCATATTTACATTTTACATTTTGATATAGATTCAAATAATGACACTCCTTTCATGTATGTACGGGAAAAACCAGCATCACTGTAAAGCTACAGGACAACATATAACAC